CTTGTGGGCTGGGGGCATCAAGGGAGCCTGAACAAAGGGCCTTCTCAGGGGAGAGGCGGCTGCTCAGGCGGCTCCGGGCAGGAAATCACCAGCCGGAGCAGTCAGCTGCGGCCTGGGCTGGGGAGGGGGCCGCACCAAGGAGGCTTCCTGGCCAGGTGGGCTGCCAGGCCACGGGAAGGTGGTCCCCTCCCCGGGCTTCGGTTTATTGAACACATACTATGTGCAAGGCACAGAGAGCAACTAGTCGGAGGGGGCCAGCCCTGGGATCAAAGACTGAAAAGTTCTCGGCTGGAAGCAACTATGACCCAGGAGACCCTCACGCTCAGGCTGCGGGGGTGTGAGTGGGGAGGTGACTTTGGAGCACCTCTGCCCCACCCCCAGTGAAGCTTCCGGGAGCCTGGGCAGCCAGAGGGATGAACAGCCTTCCACACGAAGGGGCTACACTAGGGTAACCCTAGGGATAAGAGCAGATGAGCCCGGCGTCCCTCTGACCCTCAGCCGGGGGTGGCCGCTGGCATCTTGGGGCAGGGGGTCAGGATGGTCAATGGCACCCCAGCACCCAGCTGAGTGGTCTCCAGGATTCCCACAGGTGGGTGAGGGACAAGGACAATCTCATCCAGGTACATCCTGGCACCAGCCCCCAGTCCCCTCGACAAACACTTGGAAGCAGCTAACTCCACGCCCATTTGAGGACCCAGCTGGGGGTGGGTGGGGCCAGTCTGCGTCCCAAGAGCACAACTGTGCTTTCCAGAGCTTCTGCTAAGGGAAGCTTGGCAGGGCCTTGAAGCCAAAGCCTTGGCCTGGTGTTCCCCATTCAAGCATATCCACCCCAAGGGACCCTCAAGCCTCCCCACAAGATGGTGAGAATTCTTAGGAGCTTCAACAGCTGGGAACCCCCATAGCTGGCTCTGCACTGTGGGGCCCACTCACACCCCTGACCCAGAGATGGGGCTCAACAGTCTCTTCCCATTCCAACCGCCCCGATAATTAACTGTAATTCAGGGAAGCTAAAGTTTCCGTGTTAATGACCAGACCCAGATGCAGAGAAAGACTTCCCCGCTGTGGGGATTCCACCTGCCGAGGCTTGGAGGATTTTTTTTATTGAGGTCAAATACACATAACATAAAATTCACCATTTTAATCGTTTTAAAGTGTACAATTCAGTGGCTTTTAATACCTTTACAGTGTGGTGTAACCATACCACTCTAATTCCAGAACATTTTCATCACCCGAAAACCAGAAAGGAAAAAAAACAAAAGCAAAGCTGTTACTGAGGAAGATGTTTTAAGTTGTGGTAAATAAATTAAGAGTAATTGCTCAAACCACAGCAGCCCTGGGGGTAGGGGCTGAGAAACTCTTGACGGGAAGCAATCATTAATTAAGTGAATAATTTTAAATATGAGTTAAAGTTAAAACAAGCCAGTTCGGATCCCTCACCAGCCCCAGACGAAAAGAAAAAAAAACCTCACTCCCCTTCTATGAGGCTAGTGTGGAATCTAGCCCTCCAGCCTCTAGAGTCTCTCTGCAACGGAGTCAACTTTCAAGTTGAGGAAACTCAGGCTCCAAGAGAGAAAGTGGTTCACCTGCAGCTGGAAAGCAGCAGTCAGCAGTCAAGCCCAGGACTGGAGTTCCCCTGCCCCAGTTCACAGCTGTTTGGGCAGAGGTCCACAGCTACAGCGGGAGCCACCTCCTCCAGGGAGGCTGCCAGGTCGACTCCATGCCACAGGGAGCATTTCTGTCTTCCCCATGCAAAGCACCAGCTGCTCCAGGAGCCCAGACCCCTGCCCAAGGGGATTTCTCTGCCCCTTCACGCCATTCATACTGGCCAGATGCAGACAAATCCACAGGGAGTAGGGGGCAAGGGCTCCAGGACTCTGGGAAGGCTGAGAGGTGGGGCAGCCCGTGGACACTGTGCACTGTCTCCAGGGCCACCTAGTGCCCCAAGAACATTTATCAGGCAGCACAGTCTGCCAGACCAGGAAATGTCCTCTACGTTCCTCTGCCCTCAACGCAGCCTGACACCCACCACCATCCCAGCTAGGCTTCTGGGACCATCCCCAGACTGGGCAGTGCCTGCCAAACTCCCCAGGTTGAGGGGAGAAGGGTGAGACACTATCGAGGGGGAGGCCTCTCAGCATGCCTTCTCAATGGTGTGAGGTCAGCTGCTTTGGGGTCTCAGGAGGGGTGCACTGAAGCCCTCCCGGGGCTGGGTGCCTCTCCCGTACACATTACCCTCTCTGGGCCCCTCCTACCGAGATGGCTGGAGAATGCTCATGTCAGAGGCCCTCTTTTGTGTCCACCTTCCCCGGCCTCATTCCCAGCTCCCCAGGCACCCGTAGCCAGGCTCCCCATTAGGTACCCCCCCATCAGGCGCCCTGTGAGTCAGCTCCCGGCCAAGCAGGGCACAGACTTCCTCCCTCCCAGGCCTCCCTGGGGACATGCGTCCTGGACAGCAGCCGGCTCCCCCTGGCCAGCTGGGGGGGGGGACCACATCCGGGAGGGCCCCCAGGGGCTCCAGGCCTGGCTCACGAGGAAGCCCGCAGCCCAGCCCCCCAGCTGACCCCTGACAGGGTGGCGTGGGAGGAAAAATCTTCCAGCCATCTGCTTAGCTGCCGGGTTTCCGGCCAGGGCGGGGCCGGGGGCCGCCAGCAGGACCCGCTGTCTTGGGGAAGTGCCCCCCTGACCCAGCTGGGTAGGAGGACACTTGGCTGGGCGGCCCACTGGGGGCCAGCTGGAGCCTCAAGCCCTGTCCAAGAAAAACTAGCCACTCAGGCTACAGGACCCAAGTTAGGGGGTGTCCAGCTGTGGCCACAGTCCTGTCGCCAGGCCTTAGGCCTGCGTGATCCCCAGACAGCCTCAGGCCCCGGAAGGCTGAGGGCTGGGGTGCAGGGCTCCTGGGTCCAATTAGGACTGACTCAGCGAGTGACCCCAGCTGAGTCACTTCCCTTGGGCAGCCCGCCCGCCTCGGTTTCCTTGGGGAGGGGGCTGGCTGGGGACGCGTCCCTTGTACTGCACCTCTGGAATCTCCCAGACAGGCTCCTCTCCCCTGCCAGATGGAAGCAGCTTCCTGCCCCACCCAGACAAAGATGCTGAACACCTGGGGGTCACGGAGGCACATTTTCCCAAGAAACCTGACAATTAAGTGCGAGCCCACTGGGCATTAATAACAACAGCTGGAACTTTTAAACGCCGACTGCATGCTGGGCACCGTGCATGCTTGTTCTCCCAAAACAAACCCATCGAGTGGTAATTATTTTCCCCGTTACATAGATGAGGAGAACCATAGCTCAGAGAGGTTGAGGGACAAGCCTAAGGTCACACAGCCATAGTAATTATAGCCAGCCTGGTTCAAGTCCCTACTCTGTGCCAGGCGCCTTACCACCCCTTGTGTACTATGTTTGCACAACCACCCTGGAGACATCAGCATTGTTGGTCCCCACTGGGCAGGTGAAGCCCAGAGAGGTCAGGTCACCATTGAGTGCTGGTCCAGTGCTTCACTGCTGGCTCATCAAAACTCCATAGCAACGCTTGAAGGGAGCTGTTAAAACTCTTTCACGGACTATGAATAAATTGGCTCAGAGAGGTTAAGCGACCAACCCAGGGACTACCAGCAATGGGAGATCCTCAAGAAAATCAGCCTCTGAGAAGGGTTTGAGGGGAAGTGCCAGGGCAGCTCCCGGCTGGGTCCCCTGGGAACCCCCTTGTTGAACCCCCCATGGCTGGGGAGGTGTTCTGTTTCCCCTCACCAGGGGCAGCCCCTCCAAGTGCCTCCACACCCCCCTTTTCCCCTGGCTTCTGCCCTGAAGGAGGCTCCACCACCAAGGAGGTAGGGAGTGTCCAAGGTGGCACAGCTGGACCCAGACCCAAGGGTCCCCATGGGCTGACCTGCTCTGCTGTGGGGCTACCCAGCCCAGGCTGCCACCATATATGCAGCAGCTCTACAGGATGCAAGTTGTTCTAGAAAGGTCTATTTATCAGAGAAGGCTCAAGCTCGGGGTTTAGGGGATTGGCGGGTGGGAGGGGTCAGGGAGGAAAACAAGCCAGGTGAACACCCACAACAACAAAAAAGATCATGATAATGCCATCTTATTGTACTGCTCCTCTGGACCAAGTCATTCTAAACACTCCTTTATGGTGCCAACAGCCCTAAGAAGTAGGAGCTATTATCATACCCATTTGAAAGATGAGGAAACTGAGGCTGGGGTGGTTAATGCCATCACCTCAACAGTCCTGGTCTTCAGAACTCCTCCCAAAGACCCAGGGAACCTCAGTGCTGCAGGAGCTCAAGGCATGCTGATAAAGGAACATTCCACAGCCAATAACACCACCACTAATGACACTAATGATACAAACAAGAACCACCTGGAATCATTTGGCAAAGGACAGTGAGAACGGTTGCACAACCTGATGAATGTAATCAATATCACTGAATTATACATGCAGAAATGGCTTAACTGGCATTTTGTTGTGTATATTTTCACAAGAAAAATAAATCATCACCACCACCTGTAACTGAATGCTTTCTCTGTGCCAGCAAGTAGGTGTTTTCCACAAACTGGCACGTTAAATCTCCACCACAACCTGCTCTGACCTCATTTTACACAGGGGGAAACCGAGGCTCACGAATCACTTGCCCCACTTCCTTAGCTGGAAAGACGCAGGGAGAGATTCGAACCCAGGCCCCCAGGACCCTCCTCTGCCACTGCTGAGCCCTGCAGCCCCGACACCCCAGCTGCTGATACTTCAGGCCCACGCCTGCAGCCAGCCGTGGCCCACGGGGACTCACAGAAGTTCTAGGAATGTTCACCCTTTGGCTCAGAAGGATTTCTCCCCCCAGAGTGGGGTTGTGAGAAAAGGCGCAGCAAAAGCGTATTAAAAACCCTTCCAACTTCCCCAACGGGCCCTGGCCTCTCGTCCCCTGACCCCAGCCCGCCTCTGCCTGCTCTCCCCGCATTAAGACCGCCGGATCTCCAGCCCCCGCAGGTCCCTGGGAGCCTCACAAGCTGTTTCCGCTCCAGCCGCCAGGTCAGAGATGGGAAATCCTGACACAACTCGCGCGCCCGCGTCCCTGGAGCCTCTTGCGCTAAGGGACTGAAAATGGGGCAGTGGGATGGCCAGGCTGCTCGACCCGGTCCGGCAGCTGGAGGGTGACCGGGATGCTCGTCTCCCAGGCGAAGGGGGTTCGAGTCAGATTTCAGCCCCTTCTGCCCCAAGGTTGGACCATGGCCCTGCAGACATGCCTCCCCAAGCTCTCTGCTCCGGAGCCCCCGCCCGCCGCCTGATTTCACTTCCTCCCACTCAGCCGAGCCCCTCCCTGGAGGCCCCCAGCTGCAGGCAATGACCTCCTCACCTACATCATCGTGGCCAGGGAATGGGGAAGAGAAACACGAGAATGGGGAAACTAAAGAAAAAAAGAAGCGGACAGGCAGGCAGGCCCCCACCACAGTTCCTCAAATGCAGCCTCCCCCAACAAAAGCCCCCACGGTCAGAAGGAAGGAAGCGAGGGGATTTCTGCAGCCGGCTTTCGAGGCCTCAGAAATACCCTCCCGGCTGCGCAGACCTAAGGCCAAAGCCCCCGCCCATTTTGTGTGTGTGTGTACGGGGATTCCCCAGGAGCCCCAGGCCCGTGATCGGGGGGCCCAGTCCAAGGAGACCCCGACTGTGGCCTCTTTAACCCTACTGAACCTCCAAATTTAGGGGTTTGGACACTCGGCATGGCTCAACCCACTGGCCAGGGAGTGGGGAGAGGGGCTTCCGGAATCCGGGCCGCTACCTTCTGGGCCACATGGCCTGGCCTTGGGGAGCGGGGAGGGGCCCCGCGCCCTGCTCACGGAGGCTCACCCATTCTCACCGCCTCAGTTTGACTACTTTCACTTTCAAGGTTTCAAGCGGTGACCCTCGATCCCTCCTTACCAGGCACGAGCTGCGGGCACTGCTGTCCTTGGGGGCTGGGCGACTTTGGAGGTGGGTTGGGGGTGTTGGCCAGACCTTTCTCAGCACTCCACCCCCCGCAAACCCTACCCCTAGTACATCCCAACACGTGTGTGGGTGGGGTGTCAGCTGGGGGATGTCGCAAGAGCCAGGTAAATGTCCCCCTATCCACCCCATCTCAACAAGCTAAAGGCAGTATTTGGGGATACTGTGGGGGTGTGCAGACGCTGAGCAGAACTGGCTACGGGGCCTCCTCTTCCCCCATTAAAGCCTTCCCAGCCCCGGGGGAGGGCAGAGCGGGGAAAGGCGGGCTTACCTGAGATAGAGGGGGTCCGGGCCCGGCCGGCCCATGGCGTCGCTCGCCCCCGGACCCCCGAAGTCCGAGGGGGCGGGCGGAACCCCGCCCCGGGCGCGTCCTCTCCCGCGCGCCGGCGGCTCGCTAGCGGCTCGCTCGCGCGGGGCTCAGGCAGGAAACCCGGGTTCGGAAAATGGCCAGCGTCTCATCATTTCCGCTGCCAGCGCATGACAGTTGCGGGAGGATGCGCCCCCGGGCCGCCGCCGGGGAAACTTTGCTGCTACTGCGCCGTCGCCCCCGCGGGCCGCGACAGTCCGGGCGGGCGGCCGGGCGGAGGCGGTGGCCCGATCCCATGCCTCCCCGCACCGTTATGTAAAGAGGAACCGCGGCTCGAGCGCAGCACTGCGGGGAGGGCGGCCACGGGGGCGGGGCGAGAGCGGGGTGGGGCTACGACGGGCCACGCCCCAGCACGCCTGCCAGCGGGAGACTCGCCCGGAGGGGCGGACACCGACGTGAGCAGTCTGGGGGCGGAGCCTAACCTGGCCCTGCCTATCAACCCTGCTCCTCCCCCGCTGAGGTCCCAAGGCCCTGTCGATGAGGGGCGGGGCCTTGTCAAGCCACACCCACAGTCGCCCACCTGATTCGCCTCGCGCAGCCTGAAGATGGAAAGAGACGACCCGAGGGGTGGGGGCAACCTTGACTCCACCCACCCAACCTCCTGCAGGTCGTTGGGTGCCTCAGTACCGAGGGGGCGGGGCCTGGCTAAGGGGCGGGGCCTAGGGCGGGGCAGGGCCGAGGCTCTCGGCCTCGAGGGGGCGTGCGCGCCGACTCCCTCCTCCAAGGCCTTATCGCCTCGCGCCGGGTCGTCGGTGCAATAGCGGCCGCCACTTTCATCATCGCCGGGGAAAGGAGCTCAACCCCGCCCATCCCGACTCCCCGCGACTCTGCTGAGCCGGCCGCCACGGCCCTAGCCCCCCTATCCGGGCTTCGCCGCTCATCCCGGGCTCTGCTCTGGCCGCCGACGGTGCCGGTGTAGACCACCCGCCCCCCAGCTCCATGAGGGCTACCTCTTTCTCCTGAAAGTCCTCCTGGACCACTGGCAGACCACTCTGAGCCTCCCATTCTCTCCTTGGGCTACTTTCATTGTCTTTAAAGGTTGGTGGTTCGAACCCATCCAGCGGTACCACAGAAGAAAACGCCTGGAGATCTGCTTCCGTTAAGATTACAGCCAAGACAACCCTATGGAGCAGTTCTACGCTGTAACGCACTGGGGTCTCCATGAGTCTGAATCAACTCCAGGGCAATTAACAACAACAAATGGGCCTCCTGGAGGGCGAGGTTGATAGTGGCGGGTCCCTTTAGTCTGGGCTACGGCATGCTCTCCGCTAGCCTCTCCCCAATACAGGGGAGGGAGGGAAGGGTAGAATGTGCCCTTCTTCTCCTCCCCTAACAGGAAACAAGTCGTTTGCGCCCCGGCTTGGGGGGGCCACCTCACCCCTTCCTAGACAAGGGGAGGAGGGGAAAGGGGTCCCTCCTGCGTTCGACTGCCTGGGCAAAAGCCTTCTCCATACCACAATTTCCTCGTCAGTGAAATGGAAATAATAAACAGTACCCGCCCACGGGGTTATTGTGAGGGTTAAATGAGTTATGCATGTAAAGCAGTTAGCAATGGTCCAAGAAACTACACGAGTGTTTGTTCAACAGGTCCTGCCCCTTGCAGCTGCAGGAAGGGGTTCCCCAGAAGGTGGGGGTTTCCTGACTCCACCAGCATAGGGCACGGAGGCCGGTCTCCTGTTGGATCCAATAACCTTGAAGGAAGCAGCCAGGGAAGGCTGGGAGTTCATGTTTTCCTTAAATACAAACTGAATACCTACTGTGCACCAGGTGGGTGCTGAAGACACAGCAATAAACAAAACAGATAAACATCCCTGCCCTCCTGGAGCTGACATTCTAGTGAGGGACACGGGACAAATAAATAAATATGTACAATTATTATGAAGATGTTACAGGATGGGACATGGGAAGGGGCTATCTTAGACTGGAGGCTTAGGGAGAGCTCCCTGAGGACCTAACATTTGAGCTGAGACCCCCTCCAACGACAGAAGGATTTAGGCATGATAATGTCTGAGGGAAGGACAGTCCAGACCCAGAAAACCTCAAGTGCAAAGGTCGTGAGGTAGGCACAAGCTTGGTGCTTGCTTCAGGAAAATAAAAAGGCAGTGGTGAGACCTAGACTGAGAGATGGGAAAAGATGAAGTTGGAAAGGTAGGCTCTTGTAGGTCCCAGTGGGGAGTTTAGAAATTATCTCGAGGGCAATGGGGAGCCATGGAGGGTTGTGAGCAGGAGAGGGACCTGCAGAGCTTTGGATTTGAGCTGCAAAGCCTGGAGCTGGCAACTCAGTTAGGAGGCATCCTATTGATACTTACACGGGATGCGGGGCAAATGGGGTGGATGTGAAGGAAGCCTAAACTGATCACCCCATATTATTATCTCTATATTACACTTGGCGAGACTGAGGCCCAGAGAGAGAGGTTACATACCTGTAGTCACACCACTGCCAGGTGGCGCCAACACAACCACCTCACCCTGGTACACAGCTGCTACCAAATGGTTGCTGAAATCTGCCAGCCACAAGCACTTTCCCTCTCACTACCCAGAGAGCAGTTCTGCTGACTTAAATGGGGACTTGTGGTTCTTCCCCTTTTTAATCACTGTGCGAGGCTTCTCTTCTCTCGTGCCAGATTTCTCGGAGCCCCAAGCTGGCTTCCTTCCTTGCTAGATTTCTTCTCTCCACGCATCCTCTCCGGAGTCAGGTTTCTTGTTTCCATGCTCTCCCTAATCCAAAGACCTCTCACTTTTTGGTTTTCTTAGAAAAGGCAAAGGAGTTACAACAAAATACTTCTCCCATCACCTTGCCCGAGACTTGAGGTCCGCTGTGCCCAGAAGCAGCGCTTTCTTTCATCTGCAACTGTCATACTGGCTGGCCAGGGCTCCTCCCACTTCACAGGTCCTGGGGTCCCAAGAGAGAAAAGAGCTTTATTCGGATTCCCACAACTGATCTGCAGAAGCAGATCCCACTGCCTTTTTTCCTTCCCAGAGTGAAAAACACTGAAGAGCAAAGACCTACTGTGTGCCAAGTTCTGGGCACACAGGTGCTGCCGGGAATAGGGTAGGAACCTGGCCTTCCTCCCAAGATTAATAACAATAATAAAACAGTTAATTGCTATAGGATTAGTAGTAAAAGACTTAATAACAATAAACATAAGATAACAATAGTTGACAGGTCTAATTAATAGTAATACTTCTTATTAGCTATTACAGGATTAACAGCAAATATAAAATAATAATTGGATATTAACAGGATTAATAATAAATATAATAACAGTTAACAAGTCGGGTTAATAATAGTAATAGTGGTTACAGGAGTAAGAATAATAAATATAAAATAAGATATTAATAAGATTAATAATAATAAGTATAATATAATATAATTAACACATCTAGGACTAATAATATTACTTAATAGTTACAGGTTAGTAATAATAAATACAAAAATAACAGTAGGCTATAATAGGATTAATAAGTATAATAGTTAACAGATCTAGGAGTGATAATAATATGACTAACAGTTTTGAGGCTTACTCTGTGCCAGGCACAGCTCTCCACCATCACCAACCAATGGAACTTTCTGCAATGATGGAAATGTTCTATCTGCACTGCCCAATATGCTCGCCCCTAGCCCCACGTGGCTACAGAGCACTTGAAATGTGGCTAGTGCATCTGAGGAAGTGAAGTTGACATTTTATTGAATGTTAATTAAAATGTAAAGAGCCACATGAGGTGTTATGGATTGAATTGTGTCCTCCAGAAACAGGTGTTGTAAATCCTAGCCTCTATGGGTGTGGCTATAATCCCATTTGGGAATGGGTTGTCTTTGTTACGTTAATGAGACAGGATTAGTGTAGGGTGTATCTTGAGTCAATCTCTTGGGAGATATAAAAGAGATTAAACAAGTAAGTTAGCAAGCAGAGATGGCGGAAGAGAGATGCCAAGCCCCATGAAGATCACCCAAGAGCAGAAGCTCAGAGAGACGACCTTCTTCCAGAGTCGACAGGGAAAACCTTCCCCTAGAGCCAGCACCCTGAATTGGGACTTCTAGCATCCTAAACTGTGAGAAAATCAATTTCTCTTTGTTAAAGCCACCCACTTGTGGTATTTCAGTTACAGCAGAACATGGGGCTAGTGGCTACTGTACTGGGCAGCGCAGCTCTGGGTGTTTTACAAACGTTAATTCATCTAATCCTCACAACAGCCCAGGGGTAGGTACTATTATTATTATCCCCATCTTACAGAGGAAGAAATTGAGGCACTGAAAGTTTAAGTCATTAGCGCCAAACAGTCTCTCCTCACCTCAAGGACAGGATGCCACTGTCTGGGGACCCCCACAGTTAAGAACAAAAGCTCTGGGGTCACCCAGACAGGTTTGGAATTCTCTGTTCTATATCTTCCTAACTGTGTGGTCACTTAGACTCTCTGGGCTTCCGTTCCTCATCTGCAAAATGGGGACAATCATAGTGCTGACCCCATTGGGTGGGTAGGGAGAGGATTTGATCAGAAAACAAACATGAAGGGCTTGGGGGTAGGGGTGGGTGCTTCCACATAGCACGTGCTCAATAAAGAATGGTGACTATAATCTATAATTGAGTATAGGAGCCATCTGTCTCTCAAAGGGTGGTTATAAAGAGTGGTGGCCACAGAGACCAGCCTTGCGGGCAAGCAGCCCTCACACTCATAGACACTGAGGCTTGAGAGTGCAGGCTGTTGCCCATGATCACCTAGCCAGTGAGTGGAGGCCTCAGTGTCCACATCTGTAAAATGGGCGTCTGT